CCTCTGATGTCACATGACCAGTCATCCCAGAGTAGGCACTACGCCTTACATGTCCCCTCTGATGTCACATGACCAGTCATCCCAGAGTAGGCACTACGCCTTACATGTCCCCTCTGATGTCACATGACCAGTCATCCCAGGGTAGGCACTACGCCTTACATGTCCCCTCTGATGTCACATGACCAGTCATCCCAGAGTAGGCACTACGCCTTACATGTCTCCTCTGATGTCACATGACCAGTCATCCCAGGGTAGGCGCTACGCCTTACATGTCCCCTCTGATGTCACATGACCAGTCATCCCAGGGTAGGCGCTACGCCTTACATGTCCCCTCTGATGTCACATGACCAGTCATCCCAGAGTAGGCACTACGCCTTACATGTCTCCTCTGATGTCACATGACCAGTCATCCCAGGGTAGGGCACTACGCCTTACATGTCCTCTCTGATGTCACATGACCAGTCATCCCAGGGTAGGCACTACGCCTTACATGTCCCCTCTGATGTCACATGACCAGTCATCCCAGGGTAGGCACTACGCCTTACATGTCCCCTCTGATGTCACATGACCAGTCATCCCAGAGTAGGCGCTACGCCTTACATGTCTCCTCTGATGTCACATGACCAGTCATCCCATGACCAGTAGGCGCTACGCCTTACATGTCCCCTCTGATGTCACATGACCATGACCAGTAGGCATACGCCCAGGGTGAGGTCACATGACCTACAGGGCCTACGCCTTACATGTCCCCTCTGATGTCACATGACCAGTCATCCCAGGGTAGGCACTACGCCTTACATGTCCCCTCTGATGTCACATGACCAGTCATCCCAGGTAGGCACTACGCCTTACATGTCCCCTCTGATGTCACATGTCACCAGCCTTCATGTCCCCCCAGGGTAGGCGCTACGCCTTACATGTCCCCTCTGATGTCACATGACCAGTCATCCCAGAGTAGGCGCTACGCCTTACATGTCTCCTCTGATGTCACATGACCAGTCATCCCAGGCACTAGTAGGTCCCCTCTGATGTCACTACGCCTTACATGTCCCCTCTGATGTCACATGACCAGTCATCCCAGGGTAGGCGCTACGCCTTACATGTCCCCTCTGATGTCACATGACCAGTCATCCCAGAGTAGGCACTACGCCCATGTACTGATGTGACCAGTCCTCTGATGTCCCCTCTGATGTCACATGACCAGTCATCCCAGGGTAGGCGCTACGCCTTACATGTCCCCTCTGATGTCACATGACCAGTCATCCCAGGGTAGGCGCTACGCCTTACATGTCCCCTCTGATGTCACATGTCACATGACCACATGTCATCTGATGTCACATGACCAGGGTAGGCGCTACGCCTTACATGTCCCCTCTGATGTCACATGACCAGTCATCCCAGGGTAGGCTACGCCTTACATGTCCCCTCTGATGTACATGTCCCCTCTGATGTCATGTCCCCTCTGATGTCACATGACCAGTCATCCCAGAGTAGGCGCTACGCCTTACATGTCCCCTCTGATGTCACATGACCAGTCATCCCAGGGTAGGCGCTACGCCTTACATGTCCCCTCTGATGTCACATGACCAGTCATCCCAGGGTAGGCGCTACGCCTTACATGTCCCCTCTGATGTCACATGACCAGTCATCCCAGGGTAGGCGCTACGTCCTTACATGTCCCCTCTGATGTCACATGACCAGTCATCCCAGGGTAGGGCGCCTACACCCCTTACATGTCATCCCAGGGTAGGCTCTACGCCTTATGTCACTGATGTCACCAGTCATCCCAGGGTAGGCGCTACGCCTTTACATGTCCCCAGTCTCCCAGGGTATGTTACACTCTGATGTCACATGACCAGTCATCCCAGGGTAGGCGCTACGCCTTACATGTCCCCTCTGATGTCACATGACCAGTCATCCCAGGGTAGGCGCTACGCCTTACATGTCCCCTCTGATGTCACATGACCAGTCATCCCAGGGTAGGCGCTACGCCTTACATGTCATCCAGGGTCTACGATGTCACATGACCAGTCATCCAGTCATCCCAGGGTAGGCGCTACGCCTTACATGTCCCCTCTGATGTCACATGACCAGTCATCCCAGGGTAGGCGCTACGCCTTACATGTCCCCTCTGATGTCACATGACCAGTCATCCCAGGGTAGGCGCTACGCCTTACATGTCCCCTCTGATGTCACATGACCAGTCATCCCAGTAGGCGTAGGCATGTCCCCTCTACGCCTTACATGTCTTACATGTCCCCTCTGATGTCACTTACATCCTCTGATGTCACATGGACCAGTCAGTCATCCCAGGGTAGGCATGACCAGTCTACGCCTTACATGTCCCCTCTGATGTCACATGACCAGTCATCCCAGGGTAGGCACTACGCCTTACATGTCCCCTCTGATGTCACATGACCAGTCATCCCAGGGTAGGACGCCTTACATGTCCCCTCTGATGTCACATGACCAGGGTAGGCGCTACGCCTTACATGTCCCCTCTGATGTCACATGACCAGTCATCCCAGGGTAGGCGCTACGCCTTACATGTCCCCTCTGATGTCACATGACCAGTCATCCCAGGGTAGGCGCTACGCCTTACATGTCCCCTCTGATGTCACATGACCAGTCATCCCAGAGTAGGCGCTACGCCTTACATGTCCCCTCTGATGTCACATGACCAGTCATCCCAGGGTAGGCGCTACGCCTTACATGTCCCCTCTGATGTCACATGACCAGTCATCCCAGGGTAGGCGCTACGCCTTACATGTCCTCTCTGATGTCACATGACCAGTCATCCCAGGGTAGGCGCTACGCCTTACATGTCCCCTCTGATGTCACATGACCAGTCATCCCAGAGTAGGCGCTACGCCTTACATGTCCCCTCTGATGTCACATGACCAGTCATCCCAGGGTAGGCACTACGCCTTACATGTCCCCTCTGATGTCACATGACCAGTCATCCCAGAGTAGGCGCTACGCCTTACATGTCCCCTCTGATGTCACATGACCAGTCATCCCAGAGTAGGCGCTACGCCTTACATGTCCCCTCTGATGTCACATGACCAGTCATCCCAGAGTAGGCGCTACGCCTTACATGTCCCCTCTGATGTCACATGACCAGTCATCCCAGAGTAGGCGCTACGCCTTACATGTCCCCTCTGATGTCACATGACCAGTCATCCCAGAGTATTACATTACATGGAGTTTATATAGCGCCAAAGGGTTTGCTCAGCGCTGTACAATAGAGGGGGGACAATACATGAAACATTACAGCAACTACGAACAGCACACGAGGGGTAAGAGGGCCCTACTCTTTCCAGCTTACAATCTAGGAGGAAGTGGCTGTGGGGGATGGAGTGGTAGGAGGAGGGAAGGGCAGCGGCTGTTAGGTGAGGGTGGGGTAGGCTTCCCTGAAGAGATGGGTTTTCAGGGAGCGCCTGAAGGTGAGGAGGGAAGGTGACAGTCTGATGGATTGGGGTAGTGAGTTCCAGAGGATAGGGGAGGACCTGGAGAAGTCTTGCAGACGTGCGTGTGAGGAGGAGACCAGGGAGCAAGATAGAAGGAGGTCCTGTGAAGAGCGAAGGGTACGGGTAGGGTGGTACCTGGGAATCAGGTTGGTGAGGTAGTTAGGGGCAGTGTTGTGAATGGCTTTGTAGGTCAGAGTGAGTAGTTTGAATTTGATGCGTTGGGCGATAGGGAGCCAGTGGAGGGAGAGGCAGAGGGGGGTGGAGCCAGTGGAGGGAGAGGCAGAGGGGGTGGAGCCAGTGGAGGGATAGGCAGGGGGGGTGGAGGCCAGTGGAGGGAGAGGCAGAGGGGGTGGAGCCAGTGGAGGGAGAGGCAGAGGGGGTGGAGCCAGTGGAGGGAGAGGCAGAGGGGGGTGGAGCCAGTGGAGGGAGAGGCAGAGGGGGTGGAGCCAGTGGAGGGATAGGCAGGGGGGGTGGAGGCCAGTGGAGGGAGAGGCAGAGGGGGTGGAGCCAGTGGAGGGAGAGGCAGAGGGGGTGGAGCCAGTGGAGGGAGAGGCAGAGGGGGGTGGAGCCAGTGGAGGGAGAGGCAGAGGGGGGTGGAGCCAGTGGAGGGATAGGCAGAGGAGGGTGGAGCCAGTGGAGGGATAGGCAGAGGGGGGTGGCAGAGGTGGAGCGGGGTGGTGAGGTGGATGAGTCTAGCCGCTGAGTTCAGGATGGTCTGAAGCGGGGAGAGCCTGCACTGGGGTAGGCCGGTGAGGAGGGAGTTGCAGTAGTCAAGGCGTGAGATAATCAGGGAGTGTACGAGTAGTTTAGTGGTGTCTGGGGTAAGGAAGGAGCGTATTTTGGCGATATTGCGGAGGTGGAGCCTGCATGTGTTTGTCAGTGATTTGACATGAGGTTGGAAGGAGAGGTTTGAGTCCAGAATGACTCCAAGGACTTTGGCTTGCTGGGCGGGATTGATGGTGGTGATGTTGGTGGTGATGGATAGGATGGGGGGGGGCGCGGGCAGGAGGGAAGACGAGAAGCTCGGTTTTGGAGAGGTTGAGTTTGAGGAAATGGAGCGACATCCAGTCAGAGATGTCGTTTAGGAGGTGAGTGATGCGGGCGGAGAAAGTGGAGGTGAGGTGAGGGGTGGAGAGGTAAATTTGAGTGTCCTCGGCATATAGGTGGTAGTTGAAGCCGTGGGAGTGTATGAGTTTGCCAAGGGAGGAGGTGTAGATGGAGAAGAGAAGGGGTCCAAGGACAGAGCCCTGGGGGACCCCAACAGAGAGGGGGAGTGAAGGGGAGGTGGCGCCGTTGTAGGAAACGCTGAAGGAGCGTCGGGATAGGTAGGCACTACGCCTTACATGTCCCCTCTGATGTCACATGACCAGTCATCCCAGAGTAGGCACTACGCCTTACATGTCCTCTCTGATGTCACATGACCAGTCATTGCAGTGCAGGTCTCCAGGTCACCATGGTAAGTCCAGGACATAAAAGGTGGCATGGAACCCCTGAGGTAACACGTCATCGTGGACATCTGAGAAGTCTGATTGGCTGAGGTCTGTAAATAATTCCCCATATTCAGCACTGACCTCAGCCGGTCTCCGGAGGGTTTGAGGCCACAGATTCCACAGAAACTACACGGCATTCTGATACTTCCCAAAACGTCTGTGCCCACTCCGAGGATGGCTCCGCCCCCTGCGACCAGAGCACCTTCACCCCCGCTGGAGCCCCCACATGTCTTCCTGTGATTGTGTGGATTCAGAGTCTGTCCGTAAATGGAGTTACTGCAATCAAAGCTGAAAGAACCAAAAAGATTTATTATTTCCGGTACTTATATAGTGCCGTCATTTTTACATTTATATTGTACATTCCCATCAGTCCCCGCCCCCGAGGAGCATACACATCAGTCCCCCCCACCTCGGAGGAGCATACACATCAGTCCCCGCCCCTGAGGAGCATACACATCAGTCCCCGAGGAGCATACACATCAGTCCCCGCCCCCGAGGAGCATACACATCAGTCCCCGCCCCCGAGGAGCATACACACACATCAGTCCCCGCCCCAAGGAGCATACAATCTAAGGTCCCTAACTCACAGTCATACATACTAGGGCCAATTTAGACAGGAGCCAATTATCCTCTCAGCATGTCTTTGGATGTGGGAGGAAACTGGAGTGCCTGGAGGAAATCCACGCAGGCACAGGGAGAACATGCAAACTCCAGGCAGATGGTGCCATGGTTGGGATTCAAACCAACAACTCGAGTACTGCCAGGCGGAAGTGCTAACCATTCAGCCACTGTGCTGTGCTCAACATGAATCAACCAGAATGGATTGACTACCGAGAATTCCCAATCCTCAAAAACCAGCATTCAGCACACAGTCAGGACTGACACACAGAATTCAGCACACAGTCAGGACTGACACACAGAAATCAGCACACAGTCAGGACTGACACACAGAATTCACAATATCGCTTTGTTCATGGACACCAGTCACTGGAATGACGTCAGCGTGGCAGGCTCCTGCCATAGCACGAAACGCGTTTAGCGAGGAGCCTCCCACACTGACGTCATTCTGCCGCAGCCACGTGGTTCAGGCTGGCGGCCATTTTGGAATCTCCCATTACATGCTGTTTTTACCAGCACTACACTACCTCTGTGGGCTGATTTTTTGGTCATTCCCAGCACTCTGCTTCTATCACTTGGCTGCATTATTAATAGTTACCTAGACTTGCCGTCACAACGACCTGGAATCAGCGCTGGTGTTGTTCTATGCTATTGGCTGCCACTCATCCTACTGGCTGCCACTCATCCTATTGGCTGTCACTCATCCTACCGGCTGCCACTCATCCTACCGGCTGCCACTCATCCTATTGGCTGTCACTCATCCTATTGGCTGTCACTCATCCTACCGGCTGCCACTCATCCTACCGGCTGCCACTCATCCTATTGGCTGCCACTCATCCTATTGGCTGTCACTCATCCTATTGGCTGTCACTCATCCTACCGGCTGCCACTCATGCTACTGGCTGCCACTCATCCTACTGGCTGCCACTCATCCTATTGGCTGTCACTCATCCTACCGGCTGCCACTCATCCTACCGGCTGCCACTCATCCTATTGGCTGTCACTCATCCTACCGGCTGCCACTCATCCTATTGGCTGCCACTCATCCTATTGGCTGTCACTCATGCTATGTTATAACTTGCATGCTCAGTGGAGTGTTTTGTCTATTTTGGTCACTAAGCTGGCAATCTAGACTGCAGTACATCCTTTGTATCACTTTGATATCTGAGCCTTTTGTACGGAACGTTTCTCTCTGGTGGCCCTTTGTATTCGGAGCCATCTAAGGTGGATGTTTGGCCACTTTTGATGGATCGGGGCGAAAGCACGTAGGAGGAGCTGTGAGTCCAAGTTGGGAGGTTTGGAGTATCTTCCTTGTATGCCGAGTGTTCCAGCGGAGCCCCTTCCCCTGCCAGGGCCCTGATGACTACCAGTCTGGATAATTAACACACATGAGCATTTAATGTGCGCTTCTGGTGAGTGCAGCACATTTACTCCTCATCACGGACGTCACAAGCACCATCATCTATATAATTCTCATCATGGTGTGATGATTACTTGATCAGGGATTGGGGAACGTTGGTTTTCACGAATGGAATGGCTCCCTGCTTCTTCAGCACATGGACCACCACACTGTCCTCAGCGTCCAGCGTTCCCAGGAAATGGACCAGACCGCAGTGCATGTTATGTCCCTGCAGAGAGACAAATCCCATCATTCCTCCGCAAATCCCATCATTCCTCCGCAAATCCCATCATTCCTCCACAAATCCCACCATTTCTCCACAAATCCCATCATTCCTCCGCAAATCCCATCATTCCTCCGCAAATCCCATCATTCCTCCGCAAATCCCATCCCTCCTCCGCAAATCCCATCATTCCTCCACAAATCCCATCCCTCCTCCGCAAATCCCATCCCTCCTCCGCAAATCCCATCATTCCTCCGCAAATCCCATCCCTCCTCCGCAAATCCCATCCCTCCTCCGCAAATCCCATCCCTCCTCCGCAAATCCCATCATTCCTCCGCAAAAATCCCATCCCCATTCCTCCGCAAATCCCAACCCTCCTCCGCAAATACCATCATTCCTCCGCAAATCCCATCATTCCTCCGCAAATCCCATCATTCCTCCGCAAATCCCATCCCTTCTCTCCGCAAATACCATCATTCCTCCGCAAATCCCATCATTCCTCCGCAAATCCCATCATTCCTCCGCAAATCCCATCATTCCTCCGCAAATCCCATCATTCCTCCGCAAATCCCATCCCTTCTCCGCAAATCCCAACCCTCCTCCGCAAATACCATCATTCCTCCGCAAATCCCATCATTCCTCCGCAAATCCCATCATTCCTCCGCAAATCTCATTCCTCCGCAAATCCCATCCCTTCTCCGCAAATCCAATCCCTCCTCCGCAAATACCATCCCTCCTCCGCAAATCCCATCCCTCCTCCACAAATCCCATCATTCCTCCGCAAATCCCATCATTCCTCCGCAAATCTCATTCCTCCGCAAATCCCATCCCTTCTCCGCAAATCCCACCCTCCTCCGCAAATACCATCCCTCCTCCGCAAATCCCATCCCTCCTCCGCAAATACCATCCCTCCTCCGCAAATCCCATCCCTCCTCCGCAAATCCCATCATTCCTCCGCAAATCTCATTCCTCCGCAAATCCCATCCCTTCTCCGCAAATCCCAACCCTCCTCCGCAAATCCCAACCATTCCTCCGCAAATCCCATCATCCCTCCTCCGCAAATCCCATCCTTCCTCCGCACAAATACCATCATTCCTCCACAAATACCATCACTCCAAACTCCCAGCAACATGACTGTGTCCAAGCAGCAATGGCAGATAACATACAACAGGAACATACAATCTGTTGGCGGTATGGTCACTGGATGGAGGTACAGGAGAGGAACATACAATCTGTTGGCGGTATGGTTGTTGGATGGAGGTACAGAAGAGGAACATACAATCTGTTGGCGGTATGGTAAATGGATTGGGGTACAGGAGAGGAACATACAATCTGTTGGCGGTATGGTCATTGGATGGAGGTACAGGAGAGGAACATACAATATGCTGGTGGTATGGGGATTGGATGAAGGTACGGGAGAGGAACATACAATCTGGTGGTGGTATGGTCATTGGATGGAGATACAAAGGAAGGAACATACTATCTACTGGTGGTATGGGGATTGGATGGAGGTACAGGAGAGGAACATACAATCTGTTGGTGGTATGGGGATTGGTGGAGATACAGGAAGGAACTTACATATATGTGGATTGGATGTAGGTACAGGAGAGGAACATACAATCTGTCGGTGGTATATGGTCACTGGATGGAGGTACAGGAGAGGAACATACAATCTGTTGGCGGTATGGTCACTGGATGGAGGTACAGGAGAGGAACATACAATCTGTTGGCGGTATGGTCACTGGATGGGGGTACAGGAGAGGAACATACAATATGCTGGTGGTATGGTCACTGGATGGGGGTACAGGAGAGGAACATACAATATGCTGGTGGTATGGGATTGGATGGAGGTATGGGAGAGGAACATACAATATGGTGGTGGTATGGTCATTGGATGGAGATACAAAAGAAGAACATACAATCTGTTGGCGGTATGGGGATTGGATGGAGGTACAGGAGAGGAACATACAATCTGTTGGTGGTATGGGGATTGGGTGGAGGTACAGGGAAGGAACATACATATATGGGGATGGATGATAGGTACAGGAGAGGAACATACAATCTGTCGGTGGTATTATCACTGGATGGAGGTACAGGGTAGGAACATACAATCTGTTGGTGGTATATCACTGGATGGAGGTACAGGGAGGAACATACAATCTGTTGGTGGTATTATCACTGGATGGAGGTACAGGGGAGGAACATACAATCTGTTGGCGGTATGGTCATTGGATGGAGGTACAGGAGAGGGCATACATATATGGGGATTGGATGGAGGTACAGGAGAGGAACATACAATCTGTCGGTGGTATGATCACTGGATGGAGGTACAGGGGAGGAACATACAATCTGTTGGCGGTATGGTCATTGGATGGAGGTACAGGAGAGGGGCATACATATATGGGGGATTGGATGGAGGTACAGGAGAGGAACATACAATCTGTCGGTGGTATGATCACTGGATGGAGGTACAGGGGAGGAACATAGAATCTGTTGGCGGTATGGTCATTGGATGGAGGTACAGGAGAGGGGCATACATATATGGGGATTGGATGGAGACACTGGAGAGGAACATACAATATGGTGGTTTGGAAGGGGATGGAGGCACAGGTGAGTAAAGTGATTTATATGTGGAGCCACCCAGGAACACGTCACCTTGTATCCGATGTTGTCTTTAAGGGAGATTGGAACTCCATAGAGAAGGCCTTTCTCTGGCTGCTTCTTTAGATCCTGCAACTGCGTCTCTCACACTCTGCCAGGAAATCGGTCACACAGTTCACTTCTCGTGTCACTTCCAAAGCCTGAACCATAAATAAGAGACCACAAGAATTACTAATAGGGAGGACATGTCACGGTTGTCTTTCCTTTCATTGTTGTCACATGATCCTAGACATCTCAGAGTTACATGAATGGCAGTTCTCCAATCTCTGTGGATGGGGCGACCATCCATGTTGTAGAATATGATAGCAATGAAGAGGAACGTGGACCTGCACGCTACGTGAGTCCAGTCCATAGACGACCCCCAACGGGAACTGCGGGAACCAGACAACATTGGGTGATGATTGGGTGAAAACATTGTGCCGGACTCGTAGGATGATCTCACCAGTATTGCTATCCTAATGTATTGATATGGCCTCACCCCGGGCAGGCGGCTTCTACACCCCAGAGGAGCTCCACTGTCTCCTGGGCTTGAAGTGAAATGCACCACAATTGAAGATTAAGTGCCACACCACTGCTAAGAGGTCCAGGTACAACTTTATTCTGATAAAGGTCAGGGGGACAGTCCAAAAAATATCCAATGTATTTTGGGAGAGCGCCCCCTTCGTCAGGGCCAGAAAGAACATAAGAACATCTCCATATAAATCTGATACCAATATATGACTGGATTGATATGGAGATGTTTTATGTTCTTTCTAGCCCTGATGAGGCGGGCGCTCTTGGACTCCAAAAACATGTTGGCTACTTTTTGGATTGTCCCCCAGACCATTTCCAGAATAAAGTCGTACCTGGACCTCTTAGTAATGGTGTGGCCCTCCATTTTAAATATTGGGCGATGGTTGGATGTGCCGGCCACTAATGAAGAGAAATGTCCAGCTGAACACTATATGAGCCCAGTCCATAGATGACACCCCCCCCCCATGTGAACAGCAGGAGCCAGACATTGGGTGATGGTTGGATGTGCTAACCACCAATAAAGAGAAATGTTCACCTGAAAACTAGGACAATCCAAAAAAGTATCCAATGTATTTTGTGAGAGCGCCCCCCTTAGTCAGGGCCAGAAAGAACATAAGAACATCTCCATATACATCCGATACCAATATATGACTGGATGATATGGAGATGTTCTTATGTTCTTTCTAGCCCTGATGAGGTGGGCTCTCTTTGGACTCCTAAAACATGTTGGCTACTTTTTGGATTGTCCCCCTATTTCCAGAATAAAGTTGTATCTGGACGTCTTAATAATGGTGTGGCCTTTCACTTTTAATATTGGGGGATGGTTGGAAGTGCTGACCACCAGTGAAATGTTCACCTGAAGACTACATGAGCCTAGTCCATAGATGACTCCCAATGTGAGAAACAGGAGCCAGACATTGGGTGATGGTTGGATGTGCCGACCACAAATGAAATGTCCACCAGACATTGGGTGATGGTTGGATGTGCCGACCACCAATGAAATGTCCCCCAACATTGGGTGATGGTTGGATGTGCCGACCACCAATGAAATGTCCCCCAGACATTGGGTGATGGTTGGATGTGCCGACACAAATGAAATGTCCAGCAGACATTGGGTGATGGTTGGATGTGCCAACCTCCAAGGATCTTTGGGTACACGGGGTCGGCTTGAGTGTGAATGTCTACATGTATGGGAAAGGGGGGGGTGGAGAGCAGCTGAGGAGGAATATCCCCAGCAGGACGGATCTCCACTTTCTCTATAAACCTTCTCCCTGAGGCACCCTGGTGCCACCCACAGATATGAAGATGATCGCCAGAACAAACGATGAATATTTCATTGCTAGAAGTACCTTCACTCTGACAGACCAATCAGCATTCTGCATTGAGCAGTATGGAATGAATGAATAATGAATGCTAGGACCCGATTGGCTGTTCTGGATGACATCACTTTGGCAGTAAATGACCCTGAAAACATTATCACCTTCTCTATATAGACGTGCAGCACGGCCTCCGGAGACAGCGATCCGCTCTTCAACTGACTGACCAGCTCATCCAGGGACAGCGAGAGGATCCCACCGGCATCCACATCACCATGCTGAAAGTAGACAAAAGGAAGTGACATCACACAGGTGGAGCAAAGGACTGTATATCCAGAGCAAGGCATGAGCTGTCACCACTGTACAGGAAGTGACATCACATATACTCACATATACAGTGGGAGGAGCAAACCATATGGAGACAATCACCTTAGTTCAAGGTTTCTCCAGAGTGCTAGTGCTGTGGCCAATCAGAGAACAGCTCTCCTGATTGGTGCCGAGGGAGGAGGAGTGACCCTTTAAATGCACTCCTCCCCGGTGTACCCGGCCTACGCGGACCTCAAAGTCTGCTTTCTGTTGGGAAGCCCCTGGACCTATGGGGTGAGAGGATCCAACCACCCGAGACATGCCCCCCCGGACCCATGGGGTGAGAGGATCCAACCACCCGAGACATGCCCCCGGACCCATGGGGTGAGGATCCAACCACCCGAGACAAGCCCCCAGACCTATGGGATGAGAGGACCCAACCACCCGAGACAAGCCCCCGGACCTATGGGGTGAGAGGATCCAACCACCCGAGACATGCCCTCGGACCTATGGGGTGAGAGGGTACAACCACCCAAGACAAGCCCCCGGACCTATGGGGTGAGAGGATCCAACCACCCGAGACATGCCCCCGGACCTATGGGGTGAGAGGATCCAACCACCCGAGACATGCCCCCGGACCTATGGGGTGAGAGGGTCCAACCACCCGAGACAAGCCCCCGGACCTATGGGGTGAGAGGATCCAACCACCCGAGGCATGAAGGCTCATAGATCTCAATAGGCCTATCAGTGGGAGAATTATTGCCATGGCGGGGGAGGGTATGCATATCTGGGGGAACATTCTGGGTGCTCTCCTTCCCCCCACACTCTCAATACTCCTGACCTCCAGGCAGAAGCAGAACTAGGACTGTGGAAGACTTGGAGAGCCCTTCAGGCACTGGGAGCAGAGGAATGGTGGGTGTGGTGAGATGGCACTGACAGTGGGAGGGGCTTAAAGGGGTATGACTAAATAAAACCTGAGCCTACCTTGTTCTTGGTCAGGAGTAAGTAGTGCAGGGGTCAGGAGTATGTAATGTACAGAGTGCAGGTGTCAGGAGTGTGTATTGTTGTCAGGAATGGACTGGCCAGCAATAGTGGGACTCACCTGCCTTATGAGCTGCAGTACCAGGGCTGGCCAGCGGGTGCTCCCAGCAATCAGAGACTCAACCTTGCAGCCAGTCAAACACCTGGAACTAATTATACTGGTGTATTTAAGGGATGGCCAGACCTGCAGACTCTGTCTTGGTGTGTGTTTTTCCTGGGCCCTGTATCCTGTTCCTATTCCTGTTCCTGTCTTGTTGCTGACCCGGCTTGATCTATACCTCTGCTGACTTCTCCTGCTCTGACCCCGGCTCGTTCCTGACCATCCCTCTGCCTGACCCTCTGTACCACGCTGCCCGCTACCTGCTGACCCTGGCTTGTGACCCCGACCATTCTCCGCTTGCTCCCCCTGTACCTACCTGCCCGATTGATATTGACCCGGCCTGCCTGACGACGCTCGCATTGTATGTACTGTTATCTGTGGGTGGTTTGGTTTGTTTGCACTGTATTATGTTTAGTATTGCACTGCGTTTATGTTTGTATTATTAGTGTTAATAAATCGTATTGTTTATAACATATCTGAAGTCTGCGTTTCCCTGCGTCAGTCACACACCTCTGGTCACACCTGGGAGCCCTGACATTACACCAAGGCCAATCCTGACCAGAAGTGGCTGCACAGGGAAGCCATCTTGGCTTGTTGATGGGAAGGATGGATCTGGATGAGGTTGTGTATTTATATCTGCTAGTGTTTGATGACAGGGAGTATGCTTATCAGACTCTGAAGGAGTATCCCGGGATGAACTACTAGAATGTATACGGCTCGCTCATGTTCTAGTAGATCAGGGCACAGAGTTCTCTGAGGTGCAGCCATTGATTGAGGTTTGTGCTGAGTTGGTTTCATCTGGTTCCCCCGAATGCAGGGATGAATTTTTGCCACCATTTAGTGCAGACCAGGTAGAGTCCCTGGTGTGGTTATTAGAGGATGATGTGGATTACTTTCTGGAGCGTTATTCCACATGTTCACCACAGACACTAAGAGATTGTATAAACGCAGTGCAGTCATTGGTCAGACAGGCTTTGTGTAAGCTCAGCTTTGTTCAACCCATACTGCAGACATGGACAGATTTGTTGCACCCAGCCTCAGTCAGCTTACAAAGACCCAGTCCTGCTTCTAATCTATTTCCTCAAAGCTCTATTCCTGTATTCCCAACAGCTCCTCCTGCCCTGCTATCTACCGCATGTCAGTCCCCTGTTCCCACTCGCTGCACCTATCCTGCCTTTAACCCTGTAAAAGAGCCCTCTGTAGCAACTGTTCCCTCTCCTGTTCCATCCTCCAGTTCTTCTCTGTCTCCAGCTGCTCCATTCGTTTGCAGACCTGCATTTACTTGCAGTGCTCCAGTAGTTAAAACCAGAAAAAAAGCGAAAATTCTTTCCAACCAATACCATCCTGCCAGTATCCAAACCGGTGAGCCTGCCTTCCGTGGTTCAGCCTGAAGCTACTCGGCCTGATGCCTCTACTCGGCCTGAAGCCTCTACTCGGCCTGAAGCCTCTACTCGGCCTGAAGCCTCTACTCAGCCGGATGCTTCTACCCAGCATAATGAACTGATCCAGCCTGATGATCCTATTAGGCCAATTGACTCGGTGCCCACTGCCTTGCCAGATGACGCGGTGCCCGCTGGCGAGCCAAATGACCTGATGCCTGGTGACCCGATGCCCGCTGTCGAGCCAGACGATCCAATGCCAGACGACTCGGTGCCCGCAGTCTTGCCAGACGACTCGATGCCCGCAGTCTTGCCAGACGACTCGGTGCCCGCAGCCTTGCCAGACGACTCGGTGCCCGCAGCCTTGCCAGACGACTCGGTGCCCGCAGCCTTGCCAGACGACTCGGTGCCCGCTGTTCCGCCAGTTGACTCGATGCCCACTGTTCTGCCAGACGACTCGGTGCCCGCGGTTCCGCCAGACGACTCGGTCCGCCAGACGACTCGGTGCCCGCAGTCTTGCCAGACGACTCAGTGCCCGCTGTTCCGCCAGTTGGCTCGGTGCCCACAGTCTTGCCAGTTGACTCGGTGCCCGCAGTCTTGCCAGTTGACTCGGAGCCCACTGTCATGCCTGGTGACTCGGTGCCCGCCACTCCGCCTAAGGGCCCGAGACCTGTGGCTCCACCTGGGGGTCCGGCGCCCGCCGCTCCGCCTAAGGGCCCGAGACCTGTCGCCCCACCTGGGGGCCCGGTGCCTGCTACTCCGCCTGGTGGCCCGGTGCCTGCTGCTCCGCCTGGTGGCCCGGTGCCTGCTGCTCCGCCTGGGGGCCCGGTGCCTGCTGCTCCGCCTGGGGGCCCGGTGCCTGCTGCTCCGCCTGGGGGCCCGGTGCCTGCTGCTCCGCCTGGGGGCCCGGTGCCTGCTGCTCCGCCTGGTGGCCCGCTGCCTGCTGCTTCGCCTGGTAATCCGATGTGCCTCTGCCCGGGAGTCCAGCTCGATGTGCCTCTGCCCGGAGTCCAGCCGGTGTGCCTCTGCCCGGAGTCCAGCCCGGTGTGCCTCTGCCCGGAGTCCAGCCCGGTGTGCCTCTGCCCGGAGTCCAGCCCGGTGTGCCTCTGCCCGGAGTCCAGCCCGGTGTGCCTCTGCCCGTTGTGCCCCTGCCCGGTGTGCCGCTGCCCGGAGTCCTGCCCGGTGTGCCAGTCTTTGATATCCCGCCAGTTACCAGACCCGGGCGGTGGAACATTTTGCCCAGCTAGGACTGTTTGGAGCGTCCTGAGGCCGCTCCTTGAGGGGGGGGTACTGTCAGGAATGGACTGGCCAGCAATAGTGGGACTCACCTGCCTTATGAGCTGCAGTACCAGGGCTGGCCAGTGGGTGCTCCCAGCAATCAGAGACTCAACCTTTCAGCCAGTCAAACACCTGGAACTAATTATACTGGTGTATTTAAGGTACATTCAGACCTGCAGACTCTGCCTTGGTGTATGTTTTTCCTGGGCCCTGTATCCTGTTCCTGCTCCCTGTTCCTGTTCCTGTTCCTATTCCTGTTCCTGTTCCTGTCTTGTTGCTGACCCGGCCTGATCTATACCTCTGCTGACTTCTCCTGCTCTGACCCCGGCTCATTCCTGACCATCCCTCTGCCTGACCCTCTGTACCACGCTGCCCGCTACCTGCTGACCCTGCTCTGATCCCTGGCTTTGTCTGACCATTCTCCTCTGCCTGACCCTCTGTACCACGCTGCCCGCTACCTGCTGACCCTGGCTTGTGACCCCGACCATTCTCCGCTTGCTCCCCCTGTACCTACCTGCCCGATTGATATTGACCCGGCCTGCCTGACGACGCTTGCATTGTATGTACTGTTATCTGTGGGTGGTTGGTTGGTTTGTTTGCACCGTATTATGTTTAGTATTGCACTGCGTTATGTTTGTATTATTAGTGTTAATAAATTATATTGTTTATAACTTATCTGAAGTCTGCGTTTCCCTGCGTCAGTCACACACCTCTGGTCATACCCGGGAGCCCTGACAATTGTACAGAGTGTGTAATGTACAGAGTGCAGGGGTCAGGAGGGTGTAATGTACAGAGTGCAGGGGTCAGGAGTGTGTAATGTGCAGGGGTCAGGGGTGTGTAATGTACAGAGTTCAGGGGTGTGTAATGTACAGAGTTCAGGGGTCAGGAGTGTGTAATGTACAAGTACAGGGGTCAGGAGTGTGTAATGTGCAGGGGTCAGGGGTGTGTAATGTACAGAGTGCAGGGGTCAGGAGTGTGTAATGTACAAAGTACAGGGGTCAGGAGTGTGTAATGTACAGAGTTCAGGGGTCAGGAGTGTGTAATGTACAAAGTACAGGGGTCAGGAGTGTGTAATGTGCAGGGGTCAGGGGTGTGTAATGTACAGAGTGCAGGGTCAGGAGGGTGTAATGTACAGAGTGCAGGGGTCGAGAGAGTGTAATGTACAGAGTGCAGG